CATTTTGGTGGGTTGTTTCCTTCCTATTTATACTTTTTGTCCTTATATATTTTTAAATGTGTAACCAGAAATACTTTTCTCAGTTCTATTGAGATACGATTGACATATAACATTGTATTAGTTTCAGGTGTACAACATGATGATTTGATATATATATTATGAAATGATCATCACAATAAGTTTAGTTAACATTCATCACCTCACACAGTTACAATTTTTCTTATGATGAGAACTTTTAAAATCTATTCTGTTAGCAACTTTCAAATATATACCGGTATTGTTAACTTTATTCACCATGCTGTACATTACATCCCCTGAACTTATTTATAACTGAAGTTCATACATTTTGACTCCCTTTACCCATTCTGATCCCCACCCTTCTGCCTCTGGCAATCACTAATCCATTTTCTGTATCTGTGACATCAGTTTTTTTAGATTCACATAAAAGTGAGATCAGGTAATAATTGTCCTTCTCTTATTTCACTTAGCATAATGCCCTCAAGATCCATCCATGTTGCAAATGGCAGAATTTCCTTCTTTTTATGGCTGAATAATTTCTCTCTCTCTATATATACATACATATGTGTATATATATATGTATACATAGAATACATATATATATATATAAATATATATATTCACTTTTTTTTTTAACCATTCATCCACTGATGGGACACTTTGGTTGTTTCCATGTCTTGGCTACTGTAAATAATGCTGCAATGAACATAGGGGTGCAGTTGTCTCTTTGACATAGTGATTTCATTTCTTTTGGATAGATAACCAGAATTGGAATTGTTGAATCATATGATAGTTCTATTTGTAATTTTTTGATGAAACTCCATACTGTTTACCGTAGTGGCTGCACCAGTTTGCACTCCCACCAATAGTGCAAAAGGATTCCCTCTGTTTGTTTGTTTGTTTGTTTTTTAAGATTTTACTCATTTGTCAGAGAGAGAGAGAGTGCGCATAAGCAGGGGGAACAGCAGACAGAGGGAGAAGCAGGCTCTCTGCCTAACAAGGAGCCCAATAAAGGACTCGATCCCAAGACTCCAGGATCATGACGTAAGGTGAAGGCAGATGCTTAACCAACTGAGGCACCCAAGCATCCCAGAATTCCCTTTTCCACATCCTCACCAACACTTATCTCCTATCTTTTTGATAATAGCCTTAAATTCTATTTTGTTTTTTACTAACATTATTATAGTAGATTCCTTTGGCATTTTCCTGTTATACCTTTTGCTATCTCTTTACTTTTTTTAAAATTATGTTTTCTGATAACCAAAGGAATACATGTTTATTGTTGACAATACCAAGAAGAAAAATCACACATACTTCCATTATCCAGAGATAATCACAGTAACATTTTGGCATGTAATCATTCCAATTATCTCTAGGTAGGTATACATAGATATATAAATTGCTTATTTTAAAAACTAATTGTGATCATTCTGTATATAACTTTTTTAAACTATTTTTTTCCTTAACAATTGTCATTTCTTCCATTTTATTTTTTATAAAGCATGAAGTTTTAATTCTTCATAATTTTCCATTATATAGATGGCCTTACTTTTTTTTAAGTATACAGTCATTTAGAATTTGGCTTTTCCACTTGTTTTTTAATTTTTATTATTTATTTTTTTATTATGTTTTCCACTTCTTAATATCATTGTACATAAACTATTCCTTTGCTTTTGAAATTGCCACGTGTATCTCTTGTTAACAGCATTTGGACAAAAAAAAATTCCTTGGTCTGATCTGACAATGTCAGATAGGTGAATTTAATCCATTTACATATATGTAACTACTAATAATTTGGTTTTATTTCCATTTTTGTTATTCTTTTTATCTGCTTTCCTATCTTCCATTGGCTTGATAAAATTTTCTGTATTCTGCTTTGCCCTCTGTTAGAAGTTATAGTGTATTTAATTCTTTTATTATTTTTATTTTTTTAAGATTTTATTTATTTATCTGACAGAGAGAGAGCACAAGCAGGGGGAATGGGAAAGGGAGAAGCAGGCTCCTCACTGAGCAGGGAGCCTGATGCAGGGCTCGACTGTGACTTAAATTGTGACTTTTTAAATACGTAGTTCACTAAATTTTTTTTCTTAAAAAATGTGAAATTATCCAGTACCTTTATATATGTCTTGAATGAGATAAGGAACTAATATGCCTTCACTACTCCTTAAACATTTTTCTATATATGATCACTAGGCCACATCTGAAAATCAGGTTAAGTCTTATACTTTACTGATTTGGGGGGCTCCATTTCTCCCCTCTGGACTATTTTAAAACAAATTGAAGAATTATAAGTATTTCAGATTTCATCTTTTTAAAAATAGGTGTTTTATTACATAAACACAATGTCATTATTGTAACAGAACTAAATAATAACCAATGTCCTATGACCCAAGTTCATAGTCACATTTCCCCAGTTGTGTGCTTTTACTGTTATTTTGTCTGAATCAAGACCAAATAAAATCCACATTTCACTCCTTCCACTATTATTTCTGTGGCTCTAGTCACATCATCTCTCACACAAATTACAATAGCTTCCTAACTAGTCTTCTTCCTTCAGCTCCCTACCTCTTCTTTTTTAAGATTTTATTTTTATTTATTTGACAGAGAGAGAGAGAGCATAAGCAGGGGGAGTAGCAGGCAGAGGGAGAAGGAGAAGCAGACTCCTCGCTGAGCAAGGACCCTGGGATCATGACCCGAGCTGAAGGCAGATGCTTAACCAACTGAACCACCCAGACACCCCAAATCCCTACCTCTTCAATCTATTTCAACACAGCAGTCAGAATGATCCTTCTCTCCTGAAACTCTTCAGTAACTTTTTTTAAAGATTATTTGAGAGAGAGTGCACACACATGTATGCAAGTAGGAGAGGGGCAGAGAGAGAGAATCTTCAAGCAGACTCCTGGCTGAGCTCAGAGACCGACCCATGGGTTGTTCACTCCATTCCAGACACACTGGCCTCCTTGAAATCTATGAAATGTGCCAAGCATGCTCTTTTCACAGGGTCATTGTACCTGCTATTACCTATGCCTGGAAGTTTCTTCCCCAGTTACCTGTATGACAGTATCCCTTACTTCTTCAAGTCATTACTTAAGTATCTTTTCATTGAGCTATTAAAAATTAAGAATTTGCACTTCCTTGCCAGGTTCAGCATTCCCTATCTCATTCTCTTTTTTATTTGTGCATAGCACTTATTCTCTCTAGAATAACACTCTCCTGAGAGTGGTAATTTTTGTCTGTTTGATTTACTGCTGTATTTTAGCATCTAGAACATTTCCTGAGACATAAAAAACAACAAATGTTGAATAAATGAATGAATGTTTACTTATCAAATTTCATAACTTCAATTTTTATTCTTTAGTTTGCCTTTCAGGAGCCCCAAACATACTTACCTTAAAGTACTTTTCAGGCTATTCTATTATTTTCATTTTGAGTGGGTTGAAATTTCAAAAGGTGTTGGTTAACCATTTGTCTTATCAATAGGTTTCTTCTCAAATTTGAAATTTTGATTTACAGTGGGCTTTTTTCTTTCATCTTATTTTTCTTTCTTTCCTCTGGGCTCATCCTTTCTAGCAGTTTTAAGTTGCCTCCAAGTTGTGTCCTAGAAACCCCAATTCAGCCAAGTGTTACATGCTGATTCACTGCTTCAATTCTTTGGTGATACTGTATCACCAATTCTTTGGTGACAAACTGAGTAAATTGCAACTGAGCAAATTGCAAACTGCGCACTTCTGCCCACCTTGGGCTCCTATCTTCCTATATGAGCTGGAGCCCCACATATCATTTGAAGGTAGGTTTTGCTGCTTAGTCTCCTTTCACACGTGGTACAGCAGGGGAGAGGAATCCCAGCTCAGCCCTTTGCCCAAAGCAGTGCTGTTTTGGTCCCCTTTTTCATTCCTGTTATTTTTGCTATTAAAAAAAAAATCCATTTCATCAGAGGATCATCGATTTTATTAATCTTTTAAATAACCTGCTTGTGGCTTTATTATTTTCTTCTACTTTCCTTAGGATTTTTTATTTTCTTATCCTCTTGAGATCAATGCTTAATTCATTATATTTGGGGCTTAAAAATTATATAAAGCTAGACATTTCTCTTCTAGTACTATTATCACCCCTCACAATTTTGAAATGTAGTATTACTTTTAGATCCCATTGCCCCTGCCAAATTAGAACTTCTACTCTGGACCTGGAGTCAGGTAGGCTGCTGCTTCAGCATGGTTCATGGTTTCCTCCATTATTTCTTGTCCTTGGATATATTTTTTGGTTTTGAACCCAATTTTCTCTTTTTATCTTTATCGTACTAAGTTTGGAACAGAGGGGGTGCTTTAGAGCATCCACTCAAGATGTTATTTGATCAGAAGTCTCGGGACATCTTTCCCTCTCTTACAGCAGGTAAAATAAACACATTTTTATTGATTTTTTTTTCCTTCCATATATTTTATTTTTCCTTCCATGTATTTATTTTTAAAAAATTTTTAAAGGTTTTATTTAAATAATCTCTATACCCAACATGGGGCTCAAACTCACTACCCCAAGATCAAGAGCCCCACATTTCTTCTAACTGAGCCAGCCAGGTGCCTCATCCTTCCATTAATTAATTCTTAATTAACTAATTGACTGATTTTTAAAATAGGCTCCACTCCCAGCCTGGAGCCCAAAACAGGACTAGAACTCACAACCCTGAGATCAAGACCTGAGCTGAGGGGCACCTGGTGGTTCAGTCAGTTAAGCATCAAACTCTTGATCTCAGCTCAGGTCCTGATTTCGGGGTCGTGAATTCAGGCCCCTCATTGGGCTCCATGCTGGGCATGGAACCTACTTAAAAACAAGACCAAAAAACTAACCAAACAAAAAGACCTGAGCTGAGATTGAGTTGGACACTTAACCTACTGAGACATCCAGGCACCCCCTTCCATATATTTAAATAGAACTTTCATGCATTCAAATTTTATCTTGATGTAATTTTATCTTGTCATTTATATTACCTCTTATGCCAAGTTGCATCAACACATTCACAAGCATCTTTCCATGTAAGACTCTAGACAGCTAATGTTTATTTCCAACAAATTTTGGAGGTCTTTTGTAAACATGATCTTATCATTCAGGCAAGTTTGTTCTTAATATTGTTACAGTGGTGTCCCCGTTTCAGGGATTGTTAAGCTGCTGAGGTTGTAGAACTCCTCTCCAATTAATTTTCTGTTAACAGAACTGAAGTCCTAATCTGTTAAAACCAAGACAGAGATAGGTTAAGCTCAGATTTTTAAAGGGGAACTCAGGACTCAGTGTTATGTATAAACTTCACAGGGGTAAAAAAAAAAAAAAGAATACATATAACAAGACCTGTTCAAAAATACTGGTTTGATCCTCAGTATAAAATTAAATTCCTGGTAAATCGTAGGCTATTGCCCTGGTAAATGTTTCCTGGAACATTTCCTACCCAAAGCCAAGACTGTCATACCTATAACCTAAGATTGTCCTTTTGAAAATCAAGCACTTAATAAAACAGTTATTTTTCTCTTTAAAAACTAGCTTTATTTAAAAGAAGCTGAAGCATAACACTATAGGAACAAACTTACAATACATATTGTTCAAGAAAGCCTGCCATACATAATTTCTACTAATAGTAGGTCTAAATACTGATAAATAACATTCTTTATACAATGCACAAATGACATTTAGTATGAACCTTGGAAAAGAATGGCCAACAATAACATGGACTGTTTTGATAGTAGAACCTCTACTTGTCTTACTACTTATCTTAGAATAAAAAAGTAAAACGTGGAAGATAAGTTAAACTCCTCTTAAATTCTACCATGGTGTTTAAGGAAGAAAGAAAGGGATCAAAAGGAGGAAAATATAAGAAATAAAGATCTTAAAGAAAAAGGAAAATTGGCTTACCACTATTAATAGTAATTATTAAAAAGTAATTCAGAATTGAGAATTTTTGGTTTAATACTTGGAAGCCCTTAGACAAATTATCCATTATCCACTATATTCAATCAGTTACCGAGCCAATTTTATTTCTCTGAAAACTGTAACCTGTACAAAACCATACAAAGAAAATAAACAATTTGGGGGTAACCTAGTCATTTCATACTTTAAATCTTCCCACAAAGCAATTCATGAATCATTTAATACTAATACTTCTTTAAACCTCTATGACTTAAATAGAAACAGACTCATTTCTAAGAGATTGTATGTGAAGATACCAGGAAAAAAATAAATCCCTAATATGTAATTCTAAATTTTTAACCCCAAAAATAGGCCCATGTAAACACGGGCATTCAAATCAAATATAATGGAATTGTGCCACAGTATGGAATATGGCATTTTTTTTTAAATATCAAGAACTGAATCAGATTTATTGCTATGTCAGTCTTATCAATAGCTGACAATCAAACATACAAAATACACCACAACAACCATGCCAAAAATGATGTTGTATAGAGATATCATTAACATAACACAGGTAAACATTTATCTTGTAATATACATCACTAATATAGTAAAACCTTATTCAGGATAGTAAGAATTGATAAAAGTCTAAAAATTTGAATACTTTAAAAAGTTATGCAGTTTAAGCACTCATAAGCATTCTTTTTTTTTTGCTTTCAAGTATACAATTTCAAATGTACAAATTTGCATTGGCCAAGTATTACCTATTACAATTCTTTTGGGTACTTGTTTTAAAGACAAAAGAATGCTTTTAAAATAGTATTCTCAAATAAATGCTCTATAAAGCTTAATATTTTCCCAAGATTAAACATTTTTCTTTAAAATCTTGATTATGCCTTTTATTAATAAACCTTTCATCAGATAATACAAAGTAAACACCACTCAAGTCCTTGTATCAATGTTTACAAATTCTAAGTAAATTAGAGGACTTTTATGGTATTGTAATAGCGTCTTAATAAATGATTAAGAAAAGATTAGCATTTCTACTTATTGTGGTTATGGTGAAGTGAATGGTATCTTTTTTGGTTGGAAGATATCAGAGTAGGTTCAAAGTCTAGTATATAATTTTAATGGTAAGGGCTAAAAAAAAAAAAATCCTAATATGCACAATCAATTAAGACACTAATTCCTTGGTAAGTTATAACTGTGAGAGGAAAATAAAATTTTTAAGAAGTATTTATTGTATTATGAATTGCTAACACCAAATTTTACCCCCTCTCCCACTTCAAAACATCAGGCCATCTACTAATCCATAAATATTGATGTTTCACATACTTCATAGAGTAGCTTAAACACACCAGCATAAGAAATAATTAGTATTACATAGTAATTTCCTTTGCCATAGGAATAAATGTTGGACAAAGTCTGGAAACATTTTATTTTCCAATTTGAATTACAGTAATTTTGCCACAGACCACAGCACTAGTGCATGTGTTACTTTAGACATGCTCTAAGAACAAAACAAAAAATTACTGCAAAAATACATGTCACCAATGTGGAACACACTCAGATTTGTATAAAAGTACTGAACTAATATCCCAAAAAGAGGTATATGTAAACAGTACATAAGGAAGAAATAGTTTTAATATGAAACAGTCATTTAAGTCACATACATCATGATAAGAAGCAGGACTTTCTTTTATAAAAGGTATTTTAACTAACAAGCAACATCATCTATATCACCTACAGAACAAGAAAAGTACGTCTTTAGAATTAGTTTTAATATAATTGCAAGTAATGTATTTTGACAAACTGACAAAGATGAAGCTTATCCATTGGGTTTCATTAAAAATTTTCAAAGAAATACAGGCAGCCTCTGATGTCCTCACATCTGGCTTAGAGATAGCCACTTTTCATTTCCCCTAGACCATATGTCTTGGGAGATGTTAATGCCAGCCCTACTCCAGGAGTACCTCTAAACTTCCACCTCGGTACCAAGAGTTAGAAAAATGCAGATGTGACTTCTATACTGTTCTACTGGATAAACAGGATAGGGGAAAAGGGGAAGTTACTCATTTTGGAAATAAGAAGAAACCTCTGAGTTCAAAAGTTGAGGAAAGAAAACTGTAAAAAGTCCCAACAATCTAAAGGAAATTGGGAAATACTCTCAAGACAGCATCCATCAATTTGATAAAAATACTGCTTCCCATAGTGCCTGAAATGTGGTCATATTTTCTGAAATCTTATTAGATAAAAATTCATCCTGAACTAATAAGCAGTCTTAAAAAAAAAAAAAAAAGGTTTAATCCCACTTTCTTCACTATCTTCATTCGCATCTTGGTGGAAAACATTTTTCCCTTAAAATCTAGCCAACCATAAGCACAGAAAAAATGGGAATTCTGAATAGAGGAAAGATAAAATTTTGAAGCATAGAGCATCCAGTAAGGGAAAAGGCAAGTTGGCTTATATAGTATTCCACCGGAGGGTTTAGGATGGTAAGAGGACAACTAGGAAACACTAACACCAAGAAACTTAACTTTCCTGAATCCCATCAGGAAAAAGGAAAGACCTCTATTTCTTTCTACCTCCTACACTGATTGGTTCCCTAAAGAAAACTGAGTGCTCAGCATGATACTATTGGTTAACTACATTATGGTTTAAATAAGCCTTATGAGCTTTCCTAACAATCTAATCATTTTATATAATGTTCCATACCACTATTTACAAATGACCTTTGGGAGCCTGGATGCTCTTAATTGAACTTTTTAATTAAAAAAAAAAATCTAAAATAGCACAAATGTTCATGCATATGAAACCTCTGTACACTGTTAAAAAACAAAATCCAAAAATTCTTTAGAGCTCCCTTAAAAAAAATCATTACTTACATTTTTCTTTTTACTATTAAATACAATTACTATAGTATACTGGACAATAACCACTAACACTTTTAATATGTTCAAGACAAACAAGTTTGAAAGAATACTAGATGAAGACTCCTGATCCTTATTAAGATGATTGAAGTCAGCAGAATTCATGGTGACCCACACTACTGAGGTTTTTTCCTACCAGTAGGCAGAGTTGGAAGTCTTAAAAAAATCTTTATCTTGTGTTAATCTACGAAGAATAAGCCCTACTGCAAGAGAAATCTTGCTTTATGTACATAATCTTCTAATTTGGATAACCAGAATCATGATAGCAATTCTCTAGAAGTATTTCACACCAAAGGAAAACACCGATCACAAAACTAATTCTAAGCACTCTATCTGAAGAATAATTTTTCTTTTACAAGCTTAACTGTTTCAGCATTACTGAGTCCAGTAGCATCCAGAAGTAAGTAGACTAGGAATTCTCTCGTGAAATGAATAAAGCAAGTTCTGGGAAAGGAACTGATGCTTTAAAACTATCAGCAACCTAGCTGTCGTGAGAGAGCCTAGCTGCTGAGAGTTAGACAGTCTGAACTTAGACAAAACTTGAGAATATAGGAGAAACCACGATTTCCTGCTCAGTTCTGTGTGTGTGTGTGTCTTTGTGTGTATGTGTGCATGTGGGATGAGGTCTTTCAGTGAAGGAAAAGGATTACATAAGAAAAGGTGCAATGCTACTGGAAGATTATTCCACCTATGTACATTTCTTTCCATTACTGGATATTTGAAAATGTTTAGGGCAGCTCATCACTTGTCCTAACAAAGCTGTATCAATTTGTATTAATAGCCTTCTTTGGGTCAAATTGGACATTATTATATTTCATCACTTTTCCTATCAAAAACCATCTAATTTTTGACTTAGTGTCACACAGAGACAAATGTGGAACTAGTTAAGAAAAGTAATTTGAATACATGAAAACATTCACAAACTATGATTATAGTTTGCCTATGACTCGCTGTCAGTCAACCACGGGTTTTTCTTTGAATATTTACAGACTCTTAATTAAATAAGGTGCTCTGAAGATCTAAATACTTGAATAAAAATTCACTTGTAAGTTTTTAAAAACAACTATTTGGAAATGGAAAGAATCACATTACAAATCAAGTACCTTTAGACTAGCTTGGGAGCGGTTACTTCACTTTCACAAAACAACCACTGAAACTGTAAGCAACAGATGGCTTAAGAAACTGCATAATCAATTTTAACCTTAAGTACAACTCAAGTACTACCATGTAAAATGTTAACTCCTGAGGACACTGGAAGGTTCTACTCAATATCTATCTAAACTATATTGTCATAAAAACCATGATCTGATGCTAGAACTGGGCTTACAGCATGCAGTGCATCATTTCTTCAAAATCAGCACTCACTAGGATTTCAAGAATAACATAACTAGGTCCTTAAACATTTAGAAAATCGTGTATTTCTAATATAAAGTAAGCAAAATGGGATCTTCAAGTATGCTACTGAACACATCAAATGTTAGAGTCAACCAAAAATACTGCATTTTAACCTGCTTCAATTGGTAAAGTTGTCACACCAAGGAGTACCTAGTATTAGAGTTCATATCACTTCATTTCCTAAAATTGTAAAGATATATAATTTACAACTATATTGAAAATATTTTGTACTCACCTCTAACTAGTCACAGGTAAATGGAGAAAACCTTCTACTACCTTGTACCATATGAAATTGCTGTTTTTGTAGGTCAAAATTAAAACACTGTATTTAAAAAAATAAGTTTTATTCAATCAAAATATGCATCATGAGCATTAATAATTTTCTTCTAGTAGGATATTAAATATTTCATTTTTATAAAATTTGTCATTTCTTCAGCTATATAAATTGTTCATATCCCTCCAATTACTGCTTCTTAATTGGAGAACATGTTGTTTCTTAAAAAAAGCTTCAAGTGATGAAAAAGATGGTAGTTCACTGGGTAAAGGTCTGGTGATTATAATGGACATGATAAAATTTAATGTCCCAATTCAATTAACTTTGCTTTAGTGGCTTGTGACATGTGAGGTCAAGTGCTGTCATGTAAAAGTGTGGGCTCATGTTTATTAACCAAAGGATGTTTTTTTAATCAAAATTTTCACGCACAATTTTAGTTTCTTGGTGATATGCTGCCGCTGCTGTTTCACTAGGGTTTAAACAGTAGTGATTAATTCTTCTTTCACAGATCACCACATGGACTTCAGAACTTTTTTGGTCACAATGATAATGATGGTGCAAGTGTGGGAGCTTCACCAACATCCAACCATCGTATGAACTACTATCAGTTGTTATACAGGATCTTGTGGGGGAGGGTTGTTTTTTGTGGGTTTTGTTTTGTTTTTTGGGGGGTTTTTTGGTCACAGGTCATGATCCGCTCTAAAAACAGGTTTCCACTGAAGTTTTGAATCTTAACAGTACACCTCTGACTGTCTCTGTTCTTGATCATCTCCCAGGAGGATGTTCTTGGGTCCGTCTTTACACTTTCCCCAGTCACAACAGAAACTCTGTCTACTTCAAGGCCTTGAAATTGTCGTTTGTAAGTTAGCTTTCACCCTGGCTCTTAATTGGTCTTTGCTCAAAATGGATTCTGATCTCCCCTGAGGCTTGTCTTTGAATCCAGATCCCCAGAAAAAGACTTTCCAAACCACCACTGAGCAGTTCTTTCACCAGCTGAGCCTTCTAAGGCCAACTTGATGTTTCACCTATGTCATTTGCAGTTATGTCCTGGCTTGAAATCATATTAAAAGGAGTATTTGCAATTCTTCCGAGGATGCTATGTTATTTCTCTGGAAAACAGTAACAAAACAACTCAATAATCAAAGGAAACGGAATGAAGAGCTTAATACTATTATAATTCTAAACAGCACAACTAGAAACATACTTCACTTCAACTCTACCAACTGCAGTCATTTTTCAACTGATCTAATAATATTAGCAATTTCATGTGGTACAATCCACAAGTTAATCAACAAATACTTACTGAGCATCTACTATATACTAACATCTGTCTCATATCTGTACAAACATATCTTGAAAAGACTGACTTGAAAATAGGAACGTCACTAATTTCAAGGACCCTAGTGGGAAGAAATCTGGTAACATATCTATTATTTTTTAAAACATTCATTAAAATGTATGCTTTCTTCCATGTTATAACTACACAGTTTTTTCTGAAAACATGTCAAATAGATCCTTGAAAAATTTTTTGAACCATTTAATGTGATATTGCCAAAGTTCAGCTCTGCAATGTACATTTTTCAATGATTCTAACTTTTAAAAGTCAAAATTTGCCTATATTTGCTATATATTATTTTGAAGCTTCAAGAGGCTTTTTTATGATTAACAACAACAACTAACATTTATTTGTATAGTACTTTCTAAAGCACCCCCATATACATTATTCTCATTTAAGATAGCAAACAAAGACAACACAAAATTTGCACTGGTAATGAAGTAGAATATTAATAAAAACTAAAAGGTAAATAATCTTTTTGTGTGTGCATTTAAAAAAATAATGTAAAACATTAAAATCCTGTGTCACTGAAACTCTGTAAGACACAGGAAAAAAAAAACACCAAAAAACCCTTTAGTTAATGCCGGTGATTAAGCATCACTGCCAACTGCAGGTGGACCAAAAGTTTCCCGAGTACGCATCAACTGGACATCCTTGTCAGCCATACAGGTATCACAGCCCCATACTGCTGATGCCTCTGCAGTCAGGAGACCATAAGCGGTTTCAGTCATTCCAGTGCAGATCCGATGAAACCACTTCTGACAAGAGGCTTCACACAAGATGGCATCCTGATCATCATTCACTTCGTTTGTACAAATTCCACAAGGATACACTGGGTCAGAAGAAGAATGGCCATGACGGCTTGGGTGGAGAGAGGATTTATTGCTTTTTTCAGTGGTGCATGTATCTGGGGCAGCTCTAGGTTGTCGTGGCTTATTCTGTGTCCCATTTGCATGGCTGTTATTTGTAGCTTCTGCGGTACTCGAACGGCTAGTCTCTTGATTTACTGCATTGTTTCGATTAACATTTTTTAACTCAATATTACTCTGATTCACTGTGTCATCCATATTTAAGTGAGGTGGATGAGCAGAGGAATTTTGATTAGTGTTTTTGGTTGCTCCTTGACTAAAGTCTTGTTTTTGGGGTGGTGCTTTTGCTTGACTGAAAGTGTTTGGGGGAGGAATAAAAGAATGATTAGATTCTAACGGAGAAGTAAAATTTGAGTTATTTCCAGGGACAAAGTTAGACGCCAAGTCAGGGTTAGACACTTGGTTAGCATTCTGTGGAGGAATCTGATTGAAGTTTTCAGCAGGATTTTGTCGAAAATGTTGATTAGGCATGTTAACATTCTGACTTAGTGCATTATTGTAAGATGGATTTCCAAAGCTTGAATTATCATGTGGCCCAAAGTTAAAAGCATGAGGTCGATTAAAACCCATGCCCAAAGGATTCTGCGGAAATGCGTGTGGCTGATTCCTGAGTGAGTAAGGACCACAGTATGGGGAAGACATTCTTGGAGGAACGTGAGGTGGCATTCTGAACGTGCTATAGCCTCCAAAGCCAGGATAACCAGGGCCAAGATATGGATTTGATGAAGGCAGTGGTTTATAGGAAATAGTATTATAGTTGTCATCAAATGGATTAGCAGCCACTAGATGGTCAGAGTTTGGATTTGGTGGTGGAGCATACTCAGACAATGGAGGAAAAGAAGGCCCCTGAAATGAGAATGTAGAATAAAGTACATGTTTCGATCAAAGAAGTCATTAAAACTGTTATCTTAACACGTAACAACCTAGCTTTAATCAAATTTCTCTTGCTATGTGTTAAGAAAATCTAATTCTTCATTTGACCTTTCAATTCCAAATAGTTTTCATATTTAATTCTATTTAATGATTAAAATGTGTAGATTTCTTCCTTTAGGAAAGGAAAGAAGGTATGCTTTTCTGAGCTCAAACTCATTGTTACTTCAAATTCCAAAGGTATTTAAGCTTCAAAAGAAGCTTCATTATATAACTTTCGTTTAATATGCTTAACTATAATTCTAGAAGCCTTCACTTAAACCATAAAATTAAGTAACAATAAACAGGATCTAAGTTTTTTTACTAGCTTAACTTCAGGGAGTAGCTATTAAAGTATTCCCCAAGTACTATGCTCTTGGCCTCAGAATGGAAAAATAAACTTCCAGCTTTAGTCACACTGCAAGTTTAACAGATGGTGGCCAAAATGGAAAAAAGTAATCTGTATACACATCATACTTCCCCTCAGTCTTTAAAAGAAAACGAGTGCTTCAAATTCACAGGGGATAAAAGCACAGAGGCCTGTTTTTATAACGATTATCCAAGCACAGGTTATACATAAAAGATACTTCCACCATGACCGCTTAATGATACATATGTACTACTGATTATAGCAGCTGAACACTGCTTCAGGTTAAACCTGTGTCCCCAGATTTTACAATCTTTTAGCGGAAGTACAGGTATCTATGCTTTTTAAGTTAGATTTAAGGATAAGCATTTTAATTTGTCTGCCTACACTTCCTTCTTGCAATACCCACTTTAGGCCTATAGGCCAACAATAGCCACTGGTTGCAGAGTAAAAAAAAAAAAAAAAAAAAAATCACTGCAGAATTCACGATTAGGTTATGAATGAGGATAGGAAATAAACTCATGACCAAATTTAAATTTACCTCATCAGCTTGATCTTATCAGTGAACAAAAACTGTTATTAAAGAAAATGTCAATTTACCTGTGTATTTGTCTTGCGTTTTTTCTTGTCTGGGCTTCCTAGTTGTACACCTGGTCCTCCTAACCCATCCAGTCCACTATCACCACCTAAAAAAAAAAAAAAAAAAAATTCCAGGTAACATTTCCACTTGTAACTGAAATCATTTTACATCTTTCACAGCAATATCTATCATAATTACCTGTTAATATGTGCTCTATTTTTGTTAGATAAAAGCAATACTAAGCTTTTTTAAAAAAAATCTTTGTTCTTCAAAAAGTCTTCCCCATAATTTCAGCCAGAAACATTCATCTCTACTTCCATAGTATTTTTTATTATTCTTTCAGTGAGAAAGTCTCCATCCTACACTTGAAGCTTTAGTCATCTGATTTCTTATCCTGGAGGCAACCACTAGTTTTTGCTCTATCTTTCAGAAGATAATCTAGATAAATTCCAGCATGGTATCTTTTGCGGGGAGTACACAAACCATGGCATGCATACTATACACAATGTTCTCTACACCTTGCTTTCTTCTTGAAAATCATTCCACATAATTACATACAGAACTGCTCTATCACCTAATAACTGAGTAGTATTTTATGGTATGATTATACCATAATTCATTAAACTAGCTCCCTCCCTATTGATGGATATTTAGGTTGTTTCCAAAATTTTGCTGTCTGCAATGAATATCTATGTACAAGTGTCTTAAATACATGTACAAATCATTCTTAGAACTGGAATTATGGCATTAAAGGTATGTAGCCTTTAAATTCTTAAAGGTATGGTCAAAGTACAACAATGTATGTATTATTTTCTCAACAGTATACGATCAAACAAAAGCAAAAGCTTGAAAGTTTATCAGTAGAATTTTTTTCCATTACAAAAACACTTTTTATTATGGAGGATTCTGATTATTACAAGAGTAGACAGAATAAAATTATGTATGCATATATAGATACACATTTGTAATAGATTAATAAGTAAGTTCAGTGAGTTGACAATTAGAGGAGACCTACTCACACATGTGGATTCTGAGAAAAGGGGTATTTAAACTGAGACCTACAGGATAAAAAAATAAAATAAAAATAAAATAAAATAAACTGAGACTTACAGGAGGATAACAAATCTCTCATGTAAACAGCATAAGGAAGAGCCTCTAGGCAGAGAACAGCATGTGTAAAGATTCTTAAGTAGAAAGAAGCTCAATGTGTTTGAGAAATTTAAAAGAGGCCAGTGTGTTAAGGGACTCTGGAGAGTGCCACTAGAAGAGGTTAAAGAGATAGGTAGGGACCAGATCATTTAGAGCAGTATGGACAGAATGTGTCCCCTCAAAATTCTTTTTTTTTTTTTTTTTAAGATTTATTTATTTATTTACTTGACAGAGAGATAGAGAGCACAAGTAGGCAGAGTGTCAGGCAGAGGGAAAGGGAGAAGCAGGCTCTCTGCTGAGCAGGGAGCCCGACGCGGGGCTCGATCCCAGGACCCTGGGATCATGACCTGAGCCGAAGGCAGATGCTTAACCGACTGAGCCACCCAGGCGCCCCTCAAAATTCTTATTTTGAAGCCCTACCCCACAGTATGATGGTATTTGAATGTAGTGCCCTTGGGAGGTAATAAAGATTACAGCAGGGCATGAGGGTCAGGCCCTTAAGATGTGATTAGTGGCCTAAGGAGAAAGAAGAGTCTGTTCTCCACCGCTCCCCTCCGAGTACAAACACAGGAAAGGCCATGTGAGGACACGGGCGAGAAGGTGGGCATCTGCAAACCAGAAAGAGAGCACTCACCAGGAAGTGAATTGGCTAGCACCTTGATCTTGGACTTCCCAGCCTCCGAACTGTGGGAAAATAAATTTGTTGTTGAAGCCACCCCGTCTGTGATACTTTGTTCTTGCAGCCCAAGCAGACTAAGACACAACGCCTTGTAGTTTATGCTAAGGAATGTGAATTTTATCTGAAGAACAGCGGATGATCATTTAAGGGTTCTGAGCAGGAAAGTGGCATGATTTAAGTTTTAGAAGTATTATATTAGCAGGTGTGTTGAGAATTAATTGATGGTGGGACAGGGGTAGAAGCAGGGAGATCAGTCTTTTACAGTAATAGTTCAGGAAAAGAAATGGTACTTGACAATAAAGAGAAATCAGTGTGTTGGACAAAGACCCCCCCACCTAACAAAATGCAAAGCAGATATCTCTAAGAGCTATTTAGAGAAGCCTATATACTATGAAGGTGAAAAACTGACAAACGGTAACAAAATTCAGTAAGGATTCTGGATGTTAAATTAATATTTAAACATAAGCAGCTTTTTTATACACAAACTAAAACCAGTCAAAAGATAGAGTAGAAGAAAAGTTTTCATTTATAGGAAGAAAACTAAACTAAAATAGCAATAAATTTAAAAAATGCACAAGATCAGTATGAATAAAAACCTTCAAAAGTTCTATATTGAGAGACACGGAGGAATACTTCTAATAATTGGAAAGGTAGTCCCTGTTCTGGCTAGACAACTAGAACAAAATTACATTGTTTTTTACCTCACTTATTATCCCAAACAGCCTTTTTGTGCCCTCCTCAGACACATTAGCACCAGGTATTTGAATCCCAGGCCCATGGGGCCCACCCTCAGAGTCCAGAGGCATTAATACTAGAATAAGCAGCACCTCCTTCTCAGAGATCTGAGTTTAAACTCCACAGGGCCCCTCCTGTGAATTTATATATTCTAATAATTCCAACTTCTCTCCTGTGGCATCAGGAATGGTAGCTGCTTCCCACAGTCGATACCTCTGTGAAAACTTTAGTATCCTATTTTGTCACCAGTTTAACGTCTGTGAACAATACCTTATATTAAATTCTATTAAAAATAACTGGTATGGTTTCTATCTCCGACTAGACCCTGACTGATACATATCTCAAGTGCCACCAGCCAGAAACTGTCATTACTACTAAGTTAACGTCATTCCACACATCTAGCTTATTACCTACCTACCTACTTCCGTGAATACAGAGCAATAGTAATACCTTTACAAAGATGGGATACTATTTTTAAATAAAAACATTAAATTTTAACTTTATTATAATGCAATAAAGGAAAAAAGAAATGAATTAAACTATAGAATATGTTAAATATTTCTTTACCATAAGAGAAGTTTTTGGAAAGAATCCTCTAAGAAAAGACATCAAGGAAAACATTAAGTTTGAAAAATGTATGTCTTTTCTTAATTTTCTTAATTTTAGATAGCATTCATGGAACTTTGAATGTTTAAGATAATATGGTATCATATCTTATTCTACTTTTTCCATCCCGTTTCCATCCATCTACTTTTTCTATCTCTGATTCAATTCTTTATTTCAGCTAAATTTTCTTTTATCACATCTTTGAATACTTTTTCTGCTCTTTGTTGAGTGCTCTATTTTGGGGGCATTAGTTATCATTATGCTAGAGAAATTTTTAGCACCATATCTATGAGTAAGCTTTTGTTGTATTAATCATCCTGTCTTTGAACTCTTGCTTTTATTTTTGTTTTGTTTTTTCATTAAGGTCTACCACTTGACGTACATGTGAAATCTTTCCTTCTGTCTTTTAGGTTATGGGTCTTCATCTTCTGCATGCTATTTCTTTTCCTTCTTTTTTTTTGTTAATTCATTAGTTTGCAATACTATGTTTGCATAGTTATGCTTTTATCATCTTGCAATTCTGTCTAGATCTTTTATTTGCTCTGATTTAACATGGGTGACTTTCTGACTCTCTTTTTTTCACATCTAAGATTACTTGGTTTAGGTAATATGCTTTATCTACTGAGATAATCATGTGATTTTTTCCCCTTTAAATTATTTTAATATTCAACTCAAAACTGACATTCGTGAAGTAAAGCCAACTTACTCACTTTTATACAAATGCTATCATTTTCATGTGACTGGATATGCTATTATCTCTTTTGAACACTTGCCTATATTAGTAAGATTAACCTCTTATGTTTCCATGGAACATCCAGGTTTTTAATTCTGACATTTTGTTAAAGGCACGTCTACCTAGTCAGGGGGTGTGGTAACCCACTCATATGGGAGGTTTCCTGTGTTCCCTGATTTAGTTTGTATCCCTGGAGACTTTTCTGTCACAGACAGTCCTCTTTTTTTTTTTTTTAACTTTGTGTTTCATTCATTTTTTTCTTACTCAAAAGAATGAGAATATAAAGAATAGTCATTTAATTTCCTTCTCTCCAGACTTGGGGTTATTAATAAGAATTCTCAAAATTCTATAAATCACTAATCGCTTTCAAGGGCAGAGGTTGTCTTAGAACCTAAGACAGTGCATTTTGCACTGTTTCAGAATTACGTTATTGGGCTGTGCCACTTCCTTTGTTTGCCGCTGCTGCTGCACATTTTTGCTTTTTCAAAAATGGCTTTGGTTCATTTCACTTGGAATTTAAAAAGAGATTCTGTAGTTTTGTTCTACCATCTTAACTTAGAAGTCTATATCTGACTGTATCTACGTTCTTTAACTCAATCTTCATTAACAACCTAAGAGGTAGGTAAGTCATCCCCACTTTTTAAAGGAAGAAAAAGAAACAGAATGCAAAGGAGTCATACCACTGATAAAAAGCAGCACGGAAATCTAAAACCAGGGTTTTGTTTCTTTTTGCTTTTAAGTTTTTGAGGATATTCATAAGGTTGTACAACCATTACCACTATTTAATGCCAGAACATTATCATCACCCCATCATATACTCATTAGCAGTCATTTCCCAGTCCCCCAGGCCCTAGCAGTCATGAATCTACTTATACATATTTATGTATTCTGGATATGTTATATAAATGGAATCATACAATATGTAGCGGCTTTTTGTGTCTTGTTTCACTTACACTAGAGTAATGTTTTCAAGGTTTATTCATGTTATATTATGTATTATTTCCTTTTTATAGCCGAATAATATTCCATTGTAGAGATATACCACATTATATTATCCATTGATCAGTTGGTGAACAACTTGAGTTTTTCTACTTTTTGGCTACTAAGAATAATGCTGCTATGAATATTTATGTACCAGTTTTTATATAAACATATGTTTTCAATTCTCTTGGGTATATACCTGGTAATAGAATCACTGGGTGATATGGTATCTCTTAAGTTTAACGTTTTGAGGAACTGCCCAACTGCTCTACATAGTGGCTGCACTATTCTACATTCCCACTTGCTAATCTGAGGGTTCCAGTTTCTTCACATCCTCCCCAACACTTATTTTGTTTCTTTTTAATTTAATTTAATTTTTTTAAAGATTTTTTTTAGAGAGAGAGAGAGCAGGGGTATGGGCAGAGAGAGAGGGAGAGAATCCAAAGTAGACTCCCCATTAAGTGTGGAGCCTGACACAGGGCAGAATCTCACAACTCTGAGATCATGACCTGAGTGGAAACCAAGAGTCAGACGCTCAACTGACTGACTCTCCTCTGTTTGTATTTTCAATGTAGCCTAGAATTCTAGAAAGTATAAACTGGTATCTCATTGTGGTTTTAATCAGCATATTCAAAATTACTAATGATATTGAACACCTTTTCATATACTTATTGATCTCTATATATTTTTTCTTTGATGAAATGCCTATTCCAGTCATTTGTCTATTTTTTTGTTAAGTTGTTTATCTTTTTTGTTAAGTTGTAAGAATTTTTTTTTTCTTTAAAGATTTTATTTATTTTTTAGAGAGCGAGCGAGAGAGAAACAGCATGAGAGGGGAGAGGGTCAGAGGGAGAAGCAGGCTCCCCGCTGAGCGGGGACCCCGATGTGGGACTCGATCCCAGGACCCTGGGATCATGACCTGAGCCGAAGGCAGACGCTTAACCATCTGAGCCACCCAGGCGCCCAAGTTGTCAGAATTCTATATATATTCTGGATACTAGACTGTTACCAGTAATAAGATTTTCAAATATTTTCTTCTAGTCTGTGGGATGTCTTTTCACTTTGATAGTGTCCTTTGACACGTTTTTAATTTTGATGAACTCCAATTTATCTATTTTTCTTTTGATTGTTTGGGTAAAACTAGATTTATATACTTCTAAGATACTCGTTTGCCTCCCTAAAATCTTATACACATACTGTCTTCTTCAGTGGACCACAAAAGACAAAAATGAAAACTTCTGGTTCAAACTAAAGGAACTCCTATTTTTAAATTCTTTGATGTGGTAGTAATCCCATTTCAGTAGATGGTAAGTAAAGAACTAATAGTGAGATCCAGTCCACCCCTCACAGCCATTGATTCAAAATCTGATGGTTCAGGAATGATTGAATCTATTACTAATTTATAACTACCCAGTAGCCCATATAAAATGAACTGATGATTCCATATTAACAAATCGTATTCACTTTTCCTTAACAGTATATACTGACATGCTGAGCAGAGAAATGTGTTGTTCTCAAATATGAATACCTAGAAATTTTGATGAGTGTGGTAGGGAAAAAGAATTAGCAATAATTTTAGAGGTCAAATAATAAAGTGGTTATATAAATAAACAAAGGTACCAAACAACAAAGTCCTGTATTTCCTAACATCTGTCATGGATATTTCACTATAACAAAAATATAAAAAGAAAAATGTAATTCCTAAAAATAAAAACAATTAGTAATAAATTAATCTCTAGTCTCCAATCTAGAAGATATAAATTCCCACTCATAGCATTAAGAATACTGAATAATTATAATTTTACAATTAAAATGCTGTAATTTAAAGATGGACAAAAAGTACTCTTAATTAATGGTATGTACATCTCTGTTCACTTTCCAAAAATTTAATAACAATTGCTTGTATTCACTATAAGGCAAGGCTCTGACATTTGCAGCTATTTAAATAAA